AGAACAGATATCTGCCAATGGGATCAGAAAATCGTAATTCAAAAGGAAAACAAGTTGTCATTCCTCAATGACAGATATTTGTTCTTGTTTTAAGCATAAGATTTCTCAGAAAACACACCTTCTTATGTTAAATTTTCATATCAGATAAATGTATCTTGATTTAAGTATTTAAGATATTTGTAATGGAAGGCAAAACAAAAATACAGAGGAAGACATTCATTTTATGCAGTGTATGCAACATTTAATGCTGGATACTTTATGGATTTAAGACCTTCTGCTCTGATTTATTACCTTTTTAAGTTTTATTTGAAATCACATAACAAAAAATACATTATTTACTCTTGTTGTCTAGATGACTAACATAACTGACCTGCTTTTTCTTCCGCCTGACATCTTTCACTCTCCTCCTCAGGAACTTGGTCCGTTTTAGCAGCTTCTTGTATTTGTGCCTGTTCATCTTCCTTCGTCGGATCTGCAGCACATTCTTGCAGTTCAGTGGTGTTGAGCTTTCCCCATCCTCCAGTAATGGCAGCGCAAATGGAGGCAGCACCATGGATTTTTCCACAATCTCACCTTCCTCCAGAGGAGGTGAAGCCTCCAGCAATGGGGGTAGAGAGTAGCGCAGAGAAAGCCAGCTTTCCAAAGGTGAAACTGATAGCTTACGTGGCACAAGAACCTCCTCTAACTCTGGCTCAAGAGGTGTCCATAGTTTGGGTGGAAGTTTGTTGTCAGCAGCTGAAGTGAAGCATCTGTTTGAATACTGAAGAGCTCTGAAACGGGTAGAATGACAGTGTTGCACAGCACTGCATAATGCCTGGCTCTGGTTCTGCAATGAACCTAGAAAAGAAAAGAAAAACGTATGGGACATTGTACAATGATTATTTTTGACAAAAATATTTTCGTAATTTATTACGAATTCGTAATAAATTCCGTAATTCGATTTTTTATGAAATGCGCTACTAGCACAAAACTGAATAAGCCTACCAGACACTTTGGAAAGCAGGTTCAGTCGTGAAACCACCCTTGGAAGAAACATGGTTTACAGTCCTATGGCCGTTGCACCCTCAAGAGCATCATGGACTGAAAAATATAAAAAAATACACAGTTGTGTATGGGTGTTTCTTTAACCAAATCAATTTTATGTCCCATGGGATTTTTACAGATTTTCTTTGTTATATGAAGGTAAGGCTGTATTGGAAACTTTTTGCAAAAAAAAAGTATTTATTTATTTGTTGGTTGGTTGGTTGCTATAAACACATAAAATGCCTTTAAATTTCTATATTTTATTGTTGTTTCACCCTTGTTCCAGACCCAGAATTAGAATTTTAAAATATGAGAATCCATCATAATTTTATTACAATTTAAATCTATAATAAACTAAACACAAAGTAAAATAATTAAACAATTATTTTTTTTTTTTGCTAATTATTCCTCACTTTTACAGAAATTTTGGAAATGGTTTCCATCACGACCAAAAACTCCAAAAAGGTTTTTTCAAAGGTAGTGTATATTTTACCAAGGAGAAATGTCAGTGAATAAACAGCATGCTTTAGATGAAATCTTGTGAAGAAAATGTCAAAATGAAAAAAGTATGAAAATATTAGGTATTTGAAATAGCTATTACGTGAGCCTTAGCAACTCTCTGATCAGGGTACAACTAATAAAATCACTAAACGCTTTGTCACAAGTGTCAAACCCGATGTACTGACAGGAATGTCACGGTATATACTACACTGTATACTATGCAGTTCACGCTGGAGGAGTCTTTCATTCAAACCAGCAGCAACTGTTAGCTGGCTTCATAACTTCAAATGATAATCGTTAGTATCGCCTGATAAG